AAAATGTATAGACTGACTAATGAAACTAATAACTTTTTTTGACCTCTTTGACGGAAATATCTTCACTGGATTTCTTCTTGCGGCCTTTTTGTCATCAGTCTACAGAAATGTTGACCTGTCCCTCTCGTTAAGCAAAAGAGATGTTTGAGAAGAATCATGTGTCTAAAGCCAGTGTTATATTAACACTGCCTTCCAGCTCTTAGTTAATCAGTTCCTTATATCTTAGAGGATTCATCGATTTGTTGAAGAGTTTATATTTTAGGTTTCATTGCAGCTTCAGTTGTATTTACATCAATTTTTCCTACATATATGTTTTTTTTTCCCACAACATCAATGGCTATCTGTACCTTCATTTGATGTTGATTCATTCTGAAATTTTCAAGATTTGTTACTAATATCCTGAGTATTTTTACTTAATGTAGATAAAATTAAAACACTACAAAGTAAATAGTAGAAAATTACAAATATTTGTTATTAAAATACATCAGTTCAATAAGTATTCACATACACCATTTGAGAGCCAGAGTGAACAAGGGATATCTGGTTTGTGGATTATAGCTTTAAAATTAGGTTGCTGGAGTCATTAGCTGAGAGTAAGCTTGTTTGTTGGGTCAAACTTTGCATAGATCAGTTGGCATGATTAGCTGGTGCTGAGAGTCAACACGTCAAGTAAGGCAGGCACATACATTATTACTGTTTATTAGTGCTGACTGTCTTGACAGTTTTACTTTACAAGAATACATATATATTGGATTACTTTGCATAAGAATATATAAAAAGCATTTAGGTTAAACTGCAGCTTTTACACACAATTATTCAGAACATGTAAATGGAAAAATAGTAAAAGTGTTTGCTTCACAGAAAAGGATTATTCCAGGAGTGCCAGAGAACATAACTGTGGATAAGATGCTTGTGATTAAAATACAGAAAGCAGGTGATTAGTGCATTCAGTGATCCATGATTCATCCATTAAGAACAATGCAGTAGACCTTCATATAGAGCTAGATCAGGATAGCTTCATGATATATCTTGTTCCACAATTTCGTATTTATTATTATACTTTTGTTTTTGGGGGGTTTCTGCCACCTCTCTGGTGTGTTTCCCTGCGATGCATGCAGGTAATTGGTTTTGTCCTTGTTACTCTATTTTATTTTGGAGGATTTGTGAGATTTTTCATAATGTCACTTTTTCTCCCAGCTCAGTTGATTTCTCCCAGATGTCAGTAAACTAACCATCCGAAATCTTTGTCTTGCCCACCCTTTCAATGCTTTTCAAAAAGTGAATGAGGCTTTCTGTCAGATTGAGTTGAGATTTGAAGGGAACCCAAATGCAGAGACAGATGAGCCGAGGCTTTGAGGTGTGTGTTGAACACAAATATAGATTGGGTAAAAACACTGCCAAATTAGATTGGTTGGTTTAACCAAAATGGTTGGTTGAACACATAACTTACAACCCAATTAAAACCAAAACTGCGGAAAAACCATTATGTTTGAATCAAAAATAATGAACACCTTTCATTTTGCTAATCATTGTCCAATTTGTACAAACACTTTGACTGATCTGCTTGATCTTATTTCACTAAAATGGCAGAAAAATGTACCTTAAATGATTTTTCTCTTCTAAGACATTTTACACACAAAATAACTTACAAGAGATTTTATTATACACACCAATCATTAACAATTTCAAAGGAACTTAAATGGGGAAAAACAAGAAAAACAATTGCAAAAAAATGTAAGATTATATTACTAACTGTAGATATGCATTCCACCAGTAGGTGGTGACATGTTCACATGAACTGTGGGGGCCCCTCTTGTGGACTAAGATGTTTTTTGCAGATGAAATGGTGAGAAAAATTCCTCTTTAACCCACCTGATGCTAGGTTGACTGCCCGGTATGTGTATGTATGGGGCACATTTCGGGTCGGTGTCTACTGTAGCGGCGGCGGCGGCGGAGGGGGTGTGGGTGGGGTGGATGAGGGTTTGTACTTCATATGGGGCCCACCCAGATAATGTTGCTTATCTGCTTATTGTTGTGTCGTTACACCATTGATCTCACCATCAATATTTAATAACAAAAAAGTGACAACTGAAGCAAAAATTCAATAATAACAAAATACAGAAAACCAAAATCTAGGAGACATGAAGGAAAATACACGAGGAGCCAGGAAACGACAAGGAACTGGCACTGAGGAACTGAACAATGAGAGTATATATGGGAGACAGAACAAAGACTTGGCTAATGAGCTGACAAGGAACAGGTGTGGATGGAAGCATCTAGAAGGGAGCGCGGGGAAGGAGACTGACACAAGGGGCAACAAAGGGTAAACAAGAAATACATGAGAACTCAAAAAATATTACCAGAAACAATTAGAATAAAAAAAAAAAAGGAAATTAAAACAGATAACTAGAAAAGACAGGAAGACAAGAATCAAAATGTAACTGAAAACTCAAAAAAAAAAAACTTAAACAGAAACAAAAAGAGCAGAATCATGACATTTTCTTATACTCACTTGTTTGTGTAAATAGGTATTATGAGACTGGCTGAGAAGAAAACCTGTATGTTTCTGGGGGAAACTTGTTTTAACTAGTATTACTTGACAAGACAACATTTTTCCTTTTGAAATTTCATCACCTTTGGTGTAAATAAACCTTTCTGAAACATTACTCGTATAAAGTATTAATAAATATCTGTACACATGCAGATTTCATATAGTTTGTTATTTCTAATATACAATTGTACTTTGCAATGATCAACTTTATACTATTTTACCTGACATTGTCCATACTCAGCTGTACAAGTGAGCAAAGTGCAGAGCATTGCGCTTGGAATCCAGAGGTTCTGAATTCAAGGCCCACTCCCACAGACTGGGTCCTTGAGCAACACCCTTAACCCCACACTGCTCCCAGGTTGCCACACAGTGGCAGCCCACTGCTCCCCCAGGGGAGGGGTTAAATGCGGAGACACATTTCTCCAATGTGAGATCAATAAAGTTTAATTAAATAAAAATGATTAAGAGGAAACTGTTTCACAGCAAACTTGACTATTGCTCAGGAAACCTTCACAAATATAGTTTCCTTTGCAGACCTGAAAACGCTCTTCACTGAAAACACTGTTGAATAACACTGTCTCAAATGTGATTCTCTACAATCATCCCCAAAGATTCTAATGCTCAGACCAGAGACAGCCTTTATTAGTACTACGTTAAACTTTTTAAAATTATTAGTTAATAAACATAATTTATTAATGACATATACCCTTATTTTTGAAATTTTTTATTTCATTATTGAAGAAAAAAATCTAATGCAAATGAACAGTCAGTTTTATACTTATAAAACACCATTTATAACGCAGTTTCATTGCTTGGATTGTGGGATTATCAAAAGATGTTTGAAGTTACCTGAAATTAGTTAAGTTTTAACACATAAATTCTGTTTCATTCTTATTATCTAATGTTTTCTTAAAAAGATCTCAGATTGTCCGTGTTCAAATGAAACTTATGAATTTGTACATTTTCTTTTTCATTAGAGCCAACAGCAAAGCCATATAATTCTGAAGACAACAGATAGGCCTACCATTTCTTTTTAAGATGCTGCCATCTGCTGGATACATTGAAGAATGACACTCCTATCAACGCTTCTATTGTGTGAACAGATTTTAAAATTCTCAATTTTAACTCTTAATTTCTGAAAACGCCCAACACTTTTGATGCTTAAGGATTTTTTCAGCCGAAGATTCTCTGGTAGATGCTGGGATACCTTAATTTTTGTTTAAGTGTATTATCCTTAACAGAACTAAGGTCATTGAGTCCTGTGATTAAAAAAAACTAAAAAACTAAAAAAGTTTTAAACCAACAAAGATTTCAAGATAGTAAACAAAGAAACAAAAACAACAAAACATGTTGCCATATCATAAATTATTGTGTGTCACATTGGGTCCAAAAGATAGTAATTCTTATAAATTCCTAATA